CCCCCCATCCCACCCCCTCCTCCTCCCTTCACGCCCCCTTCACGACCTCCGCGCCGCCGTCTACATCACCATGTTCGTATCTTTCCCTTTGCCTCCTCTTGTCTCTCAATCCCAGGTCTCGTTTCAGGTCGAACAGCGACATATCCAGTGCCTCTAGCGCCTCAACCTCTACCTTCGTCACCGCCCTCGTCTTCAACGCCGCCGTTTTCGGTGGTGAACTTGCCGCATTCACCCTTCTCCGCCCCTATTTCCCCGCAATATACCAACCGAGAACATATGTTCCTCCTGAAAGGTGAGCCTTATGGGCTTTATGGTTGTTGTTTTTTCTCCTGGAGGAAAACGCCTTGAGATGTGCGGATGTTGCTCAGGCACCCTCCCACACTCCTTACGCGTGCCTTATCACACGCTGTCAGTGCGTGTGTTGAACCGACATTGTTCATTTCCGTCTTAATTTGGCGCACATATGTCCCTTGTTGCAGGGTTTGCGTGACGTTGGTCGTCAACCTTGTTTGTTGACTAGACCGTCCTTTCTCATGGAATGCTCCAATCTTGATCTTATGTCTCTTTTCTTTTCTGATATCTATCCTGCAGTAAACGAGCACAACCGCTCAGTGACAGCATTTTCCTCTGGCCATGGGCTGTCTACAAGGCAGATTACCACAAAATAAAGGATGTCAATGGCCTTGATGCGTACTTCTTTGTGCGCTTCCTCCGCATGATGCTTCGCGTCCTTATTCCTATTTGGCTCATCTCCTGGGTCATTCTGCTTCCTGTTGATTCGGTTGGTACCACGTCCGGGACGAGCGACAGCCTTACCCAGTTCCAGTTTGGCAACATTGGTCCTGGACAACAGGATCGTCACTGGGCCCATCTTGTTCTCGTGTGGGCATTCACCAGTGAGTCCGCTTGTAATTTGTCTTCATCCATTACTCATAGCATCAAGTATGGATATGGTGGAATATCCGACACGAGATGTCGCATTTCGTGACGACTCGTCAGCGATGGCTTATTGACCCCGAAAATGCAACTGCGCAGGCCAATACGATGCTAGTCACTGGTGTGCCCCAGCGGTATCTGACAGAAGCAGCAATCAAGGATGTGTTCTCTTACCTTCCTGGCGGAGTTGCAAAAGTCTGGTTGAACAGGTCAGCAATGCGAATCCCTCAGTGTGAGCCGCGCTCAATTATTTCCCCCAGAGATCTGAAGGATATGCCCGATTTATACGAGCGACGGCTCGAGGCGTGCAAGATCCTTGAATCAGCGGAGACATCCCTGCTTAATACTGCTATCAAGCTGCACAATAAACGAATCAAGAAAGAAGCCAAGGCAGCGAAGAAGTCTGGCAAGATCGTAGCCACGGCCGACGAGCAACGTCTGACTGACGGAAGCATCATAGACACGGAACGGGGTGATGCTCTCAGTCTTGCAGAGCGTCTCGTACCGCAGAAGAAACGCCCAACTCGCCGACTGCCGCTGCTGTCTTTCTTGCCGTCACTTCCGCTGATTGGAACACAGGTGGACTCAATTGAATGGGCGCGTGAGGAGATTGCCGTCACTGGTGCAGCGCTGCGGAGCGGCCGGCGGACTCTCGCCCGGGAGGTCGAGCGGATGTCGACGAGTCGCGATTCGCGGGACAGCGAAACAGGTAGCGCGGATGGACACGGTCACGTCAGCGACCATGGGCACGCAGGAGAAGATGCAGAGGCGGTGAAACCAAACCCTGAGACGTCGTTGACGTATCCGCCACTCAATTCGGCGTTTGTTCTGTTCAACGAGCAGATTGCGGCGCATATGGCTGCCCAAGCGCTTACACACCACTCGCCATATCGGATGGCTCACAAGTATTTGCACGTAGCACCAGCTGATATCATTTGGGGGAACCTGAACATGAATCCATATGAGATGAAAATTCGTACGGCCATCAGCTGGTGTCTGACCGTTGGATTGATCATTGTATGGGCATTTCCTGGTATGTACCTCAAGTGTTTTTCAATTAGAGTACCCTGATGTTTGCTCTAGTGGCGTTCATTGGTGCGGTCAGCAACATTCACTCACTGTGCAGCACGTACGGTTGGCTCGCGTGGGTCTGCGGCCTTCCACCCGTGATTGTCGGCATTATATCTGGTATTCTTCCTCCCGCGCTCTTGGCAATCCTCATGATGCTCCTCCCGATCGTGCTGCGTTTGATGGCACGCTTCGAGGGCATGCCGACACGGTCGTCTGTTGAATTGAGTTTGATGACGCGATACTTTTTGTTTCAAGTGATCGTATGTCTTTTCCTTAAGCGTCTGTGTGTGCCAAGCTGATGTCGCGGCAATCAGCACTCGTTCTTGATTGTGACGCTGAGTTCCGGTATAATTGCAGCGCTACCACAGTTGGTTGAGGATACCAACTCGATTCCTTCGATGCTTGCTTCGAATTTACCCAAGGCGTCGACGTTCTTCCTGACGTTAGTCTCCTCGCTCTACTATTAATTTATAATTGCTGAACGGCACATCGTTAGGTATATCATCTTGCAAGGCCTTTCTGGGTCGGCTTCCGGCTTCCTTGATATTATTTCTCTAGCCATCTACTATGTCAAATTGTACCTGATGGGCAGTACACCGCGCTCAATCTACAACATCAAATATTCGCTGAATTCGGTTCAATGGGGCACAGCGTTCCCGTCTGTAACGCTCCTGGTCGTTATCAGTGGGTTCAACCATGTTGTAATATCTCGCATTAACTAATCCATGCAAATAGCCGTCGCATACAGTATAATTTCTCCTATTATTAACGGCCTTGCTGTCGCTACATTCTTCTTGCTTTACCAGCTGTGGAAGTATCGCTTCCTCTGGCAACTTGGACAGCCGAGGGCGGACGAGACGGGTGGTATGTTCTTCCCGAAGGCCATTCAACACGTCTTTGTTGGGTTGTATCTCCAGCTGGTCTGTCTCGCTGCGTTGTTTTTCCTGGCTCAGAATGGTTCGAAAAAGCCGAGCGCCGTTCCGGAAGGTGCTTTGACGATAGTACTAATTGCTTTTACCGTAAGCATACCGTCTTTCGACATTTGAAGGGGTACTGAATGACTCGTGCACACAGGCCTTCTTCCATATCATCATCAACAACTCGTACGGGCCACTGATCGACTACCTGCCGCTCACGCTTGCGGGTCAGGATTTGGAACTGAAGGATTCGAACCGCGCCGTAACAGAACAGGTACTTCGTGAGAACGCATCTGCAACGAGCTTGGACGCCGAGCAGCAGGAGAAACGGCAGGGCGAGGGGCAACAAGTACGTTCACGTAGAGAATCCAGCCATCCTGGGAAAGCCCGTGTCGACACAAAAGAATACGCTACGCGTGAGTCAGACGAGATCGCTGATGCGACCGGGGACGTGGATGTGGAACAAGGTGTAATTCAGGCCGCGTCGGAGGATGATCTATTGGGCGTTGACGAAGAGGATGGCCCGAAAGACTTCTATCATCCCGCGACAGTCGAACCTCAGATGACGATATGGATACCGAAGGACCCGCTTGGCCTCGGAGAAGCGGAGGAGAACGTCAATCGCGAAAAAGGGATTGCGGCGTCGACAGAGAACGCTCGCATGGACGGGAAAGGCCACGTTGATGTCTTGGGTGCACCGCCCGAGGATGGATCGCGGTGAATTTAGGATTTTGTTTGGGTTTCGGAAATATCCGTATATTCCCTGGCCGCGGTTGTGAGGGATTAGGGAACGGAGGGAATGGATCTACTGTGTATTATCTGCGTTTCTCAGTCTTTGAATCCATGATTTCTAGGAATACCATACTACTTCAGTGATTCCCATGTACGTATCAGACGTGCAGTTGTGTATACCCGTTTCTTTACCGTGGTTATTCTGTACAATACAGTGCATACGTACAAGAGTGTTCTGCGTGATAATCAATTCAGTTATGAACGTGAGCGGCAAAGCTTAAGGTTAAAGCCAGACTTATGGTGCCCCTCGCTACCGCATGACCGCATTGCGACACGTGGTTGGAGGTAGACCCGGAAATAAACGGCTGTTATCTCCTGTCACTTGCTTTTGTCCGCTCTTACTTACACTAAGTACGTTTATTTCGCTACACAGGTGTCTGAGAATCCATTAATAAGTCAACAGATTGAGTTCCATGGTAGCTACCTATATTTGTTTGGCCGCCGGCCCCTTCCCACTAGTTTCATATCGAAAACCCTCCACGTGTGAGATCGATTTGGGTCGAACTCCACTGGTCTCGTCCCCAGAGAACGAGATCAGTTCCCACGACGTTCGACTTCTCATGTCTTTATCTCACCAGATGCTGGCAAGTGACCATATTTAATTGGCAATTTGCTGAACATGCGCTAAACGAGCTTATCAGAATCTATTTCTATACGTTTGGAACACGGAACTACCGATACGCTCGTTACATAAATACTGATAAAGCACGGGCTGGAGGGTGAGCAGCGTGTGCGCATGCTAGGGGGGATGACTGTGCATGTCTCGTAGACCAACCAGCTTAAGGTCGATTCAACAGTTCACACT